AAGCCAAATATTTAAACATCAAAGTTTTTTCTATTATCACATTAAATGAAAACTTTAGCTTCTTACCAGATAGCAGCTAAACTGCAGTGCAAACGTAAGCTATGAGGAAACTGGGAGGGCCTGGCTGTCTAGTACTGATGGACCACGTGATGTTCCAGCCAGCTTCGGTCGTCTGGCTCATCTGCTTGAAAGAAATGTTGTAAGTCTGAGTTATAATAGTTAACAACAACAACAACAATAAATACTGGGTCACAATATCTGGACTTACAGATCCATTCAAATGTATAGTTGAAAATGGCTTTTTAAAAATAACAGCTACCTAACCACATTTACTTACATATGATCATTTATTTTAAACCACATATATTGGCTGTGTTCTATGGCTCACGTGTATAATCCCAGCCGTTTGGGAAACCAGGGTGGGATGATCACTTGAGTCTAGGAGTTTAAGACCAGCAACACATTTAGAAAGAAACACATACTAAATTTAATTAATATAATTGACTAGAAAGTTAAAAAAAAATTGTCCCAAATTAACCATTAAGGAAATTAAAATGGTAACCAAAGACCTTCCCAACCACTCCCAAAGCCTCAGCACTGGTGCTAAATTTTGAAGGATTAATGTCTATCTTACATGAGTCATTGGAAAAAGAGAAAGCCATCTAACATTTTACGAGGCTAATGTAACAGTGATGCTTAAACCAGATAAAGACATGATAAATGTAATTCATCAAAGAATAAAGATGAAAAACCTTACATTAAAAAAGAGCTAACCTTTTGGGCTCAGTGGCTCACACCTGTAATCCCAGCCTGGGCTGGTCTCTGACATAGTAAAACCTCATCTCTACAAAAAAAGGCAAAAAAAAAAAAAAATTAGCTGGGTGTGACAGCATGCACCTGAAGTCCCAGCTTCTTAGGAGGCTGAGGTGGAAGATAGCTTGAGCCCAGGATGTTGAGGCGGGAGTGAGCTGTGATCATGCTACTGCACTCCAGCTTGGGGGACAGATCAGGACTCTGTCTTTAAAAAAAGAAAAGTGAATCCAAAATTGAACCCAATATAATAATGTACTAAAAAATAACATGATCAAACAGGTTTAGGTAAAGAATTCAAGGATAATTCATTATCAGAAAGTCTATCAGTGTATTATTAGGATAAAAGAGAAAAGTTACGAGATTATCTCACAGATAAATAATAGCATTTAATAAAAATTCAACATTTATTTATGATTAAATACNCTAAGCCAATTTGAAAAAGAACAAAGTGGGCTGGGTGCAGCGGTTGGCACCTGTAATCTCCACACTTTGGGAGGCAGAGGCAGATAATCAGTTGAGGTCAGAAATTCGAGAACAGCCTGGCCAACATGGTGAAACCCAATCTCTACTAATAATACAAAAATTAGCTGAGTGTGGTGGTGTATGTCTGCAATCCCAGCTCCCTAGGGAAGCTGAAAGGGGAGAAGTAAAAAGAGCAAAGTGGGCTGAGCAGTAGCTCACACCTGTAATCCCACCACTTTGGGAGGCAGAGGCAAGTGAATTGCTTGAGTCTAGGAGTTTGAGACTAGCCTGGGCAACATGGTGAAACCCTGTCTCTACAAAGAATAGCTTGGTGTGGTGGCACCCGCCTGTGGTTCCAGCTACTTAGGAGGCTGAGGTAGGAGGATTGCTTGAGCCCAAGGAGGCAAAGGTTGCAGTGAGCTAAGATTGTGCCACTGCATTCTAGCTTGAGCAAGAGTGAGACCCTTTCTCCAAAAAAAAAAAGAAAGAAAAACAGAGCAAAGTGATTCTCCTGCTTCAGCCTCCCAAGCAGCTGAGAGGAAATCTGCCATCTATGTATTAAGACATAATATTATAAAGCCACATAAATAACAGTGTCTGTTTCCAGGTCACACTGCCACCAAGAGCACAGATTAGGAAGTCTGGAATAAGTACAGCTGTCCTTCAATATCCACCAGGGATTGATTGCAGGAATGCTGCAGACACCAAAATCTGTAGGTGCTCAAGTCCCTGATAAAAA